TCCTCTTACCCACATGCATGCAGTCACACATCACACTGCTGAAATCCAGAGGTGAAGGGGTTAAAAGTTTTCGCTGCAATAAAGAGGGCCCGGCTTATCCCTGTGTCTATTTTTAGAGACACACACACAAGATATGCGCACGTGCATGCATGGCGAACAAACAATCATTATTTTTGGTCTCCCGTGTTGAATCTCCTCTTCACGATTGAGCAGTTTGTTGCCGTGTTGTGCAGCTAAAAATGGAGCACGGGACGAGTGCATGCATGACCCAAGCGCTGCCTCTTTTGTGCGGCGGTCAGTGTGAAACGAGCATGAGCCTCATCCAGGGAAATTTAAAGCCTGATTGTCACGTTTGTCTGGCGTCCACTTGTGCTGACATGTTGTTTCTATCATGCAAAACCAAATTACGAAATTGTGGCAGATTGCAAAATGCACTTCAGCGGCGTGTTCCCACAATGCCGCCGCACCCTCCCTCTCTCGCTGAAACCAGCGAACAGAGATGAGGTTCCTGCCAGCCAGACAGGACGTCAGTTCTGTCCTCCCATGTGCCACCAACTTGGCTGAACATGACTAACAGTCGATCCCAGAACAAACCCAGGGGGGTCTCTTGTGCAACGACCAACCCCCTACATGCACAAGCTCCGCTTTGTCCTTGTGCAAATGGGGTGCAGGCACCCATCTCATCCCGCCGCACCCATCCCCCTCCAAAAACAAACACCTAATCATGGCCTTTATAAGGGTGGATGTCCTGGTATACTAGAAAAGCTCTGTTTTTAATTGGTATGAGGACAGAAACAGCAGAAAGGGAGCATGAGTTAATGAAAGGAACGGGACACATCTTTTGTCCCCGTGTCTTTTGTCCCGTCCCTGTTGAGAAACGGGATACACTGTGTTCTGCCAACGAGCTGTCAGCGGCAATTACGGTTTACATTGCTGCCTCAGAGCCCTATCCTTGTGCCTTTTGACATTGTGCTGCACAGTGCTTGACAGGAAGCATGGAGGTCTGGCCTGGGCATCAAGGAAATACTACCGTTAAGCAAGTGGATCAGAGTATTATCATTGCTGGGACTTGAAACACATGAACACTTGAAAAAGTTCAAGTAACCAGCCATCGACCAAATGTTAAATGGTGCACCTGTTACTCTGTATGCATAGTAGCTGCAGAGCAACTGTCATCTCACATACTGTGGGTGTTTGTTGTTGTAAGGCTTTAGGCCCAGCTACCAAGGCTTTACAGTTGCGTCACAGATCTCCTAGCAACCATGTGTGGCACCATTATGGATGTCGTCTGTGTGCAAATAGTCCCTAAATACATGAAAACCACTCTGGTTAAAGAGTAGTAAAGAATAGTGAATGTGAAAGTTGGTGTGCACAAGTCAGTTAAATAATTATTGAGTCTATCCATTTTCTATACCTAACTACTGCACAGAATGCACTGGGCAAAAGTCAGGGAAACACTTTTCACAGCTTTCACATGGTTAGAAATACAGCTTTCTGCTATTGATGCCCAAGGCCTTTGGACCTCCAGTATGGCTGCTGTAGCATTGCTTGATTATGTTGCATAATCACTACCACCTTGCATCATATGAAACACCAGAATTCACACGGAAAAAAGTTTTTTCTTTACTGCAGATTTAGGTGCAGGAAACAGAAATCTGATTGTTAAAGTTTTATTTCAGTTTTTCAATAAATAAAACACATTGGTGAATCAAGTTTTTATGTGACTAAGTCCGATCAAACAGACCAAAGGTATCAACGTCTCAGTAGGTTTTATCCACGTCCACTTGAATAGCAGTTCTAAATTCGCACTCCTTGAATGATAAAGAGCTTGTAAATCACGTACATGTGTTTATTTAACAGCCACAGTCATGTTAAATGTATAAATCCAAACTGCAGATTTAATCCAGGCGCCCAGTGCTTTGAATCTGAGGCCTACTCATGTACATGTTAATTTTTGTGACTTAGTCCATGCATTTCCAGCTCCAGCATCTCTACAGTTGTAGTTTTTGGTCTCTTTATTGGTTTACTGACCTCATGACATGAATGTGTTTTGGACTTGAAACAAACACTCCTAGTCTAATTACCAATTCCCAAGTAATTTGTGATTTTATATCAAGTGACGGCATTCTCCAAGAGGCACAAAGAAGCACTTAGACACCATGCCAAATTGCATTACTGCTGTGTTTTTCCGAATCTACCAGCATGAAATGAGGGTCAGATGGTTGTTTCCGACTGTTCACGGGACGCAAACTGGTGGTGGCTCACACAGGGGTCACCCATTCTCTTTTATCAGTCGCCATGACGTCAGCCGCTGCCCTCGGGAAGCAAATTTGCGACCCAGAGGAAAAGGCTCTTCAAGGAGAGGCGTGTTTGATTAATCGTATTGTTCCTGTCTGGTTCACCTTGCTCACTGGAGTCACCCTGGACGAAGCAGCCAGAACGGAAGTGCACTGAATGTAATGAGGCTGGAGCATCCTTCCTCTCTTTCTCTCTGTCACTGTCTCTCTTTGTAAACGCCACAGTGGCGCAGACATCTCATTTCTCCTCCATAACAAAGGCCTCTGTCAACATACAGTATGCAGTCTCGGGGTCAAGCTTGCCTGTCTCTCCATGCTGTCACAAAACTACATTTCGCACTGCAGCGGAGAGAGCTCTCCACCATTTGCTTAGCTCATTACTCCAGCATCCCTCCCCGTTTACAGCGCAGATCATAACATGCATGTTTTTGACGAGCGGTAGCTGCATTAGCTTGAGTTAACTGACTCTCCGCCTGAGGCTAGCGGAGGCTATTTATAGCTCCCCGTCTCCCGATGCCTGCCCAGTGGGACCAAGAAGAGAGGAGAGAAAGAAAGAAAGAAAAAAGAGAGGGACGGAGGGAGGGAGGGTGGAAAGAAGGAGCTGGAGGGAGGAGGGGGCTGATGGGTAACTAGGCTACATTCAAGATTGATGGACCCTGTTGCCAAGGTATAGGGCACTTCTCCTCTGCAAGCGTGCGGTGGTTTTGCATGTGGTTTGTTGCTTCATTACGTTGCTTTCCCTCGCTGGATGCGTGCGTTTTAACACACCTGTGCTCCCTCCACGTGCATCTCAGGTATCAAGTGTGCGGTTTTGGACTGAAATCTTATATGCTCTGTCTAACTAACCGCAGACAAAGACATCCGTCCCCCTAATTTGCTGCACTTAAGTCGGAGATGTAAAGCTGCTACCAGCAATTTGTGCAAAAAGTGGCGTAGAATTACTCCGAGCCACAGGTGTCATCACATCACAGATGCACCTCATTTCCATTGCAAAATTCGCCAGCGTGTGTGTGTGTCATTTGAATAGGCTCGTCAAAAGATATCAGCTATCACTGATGTGGATCTGTTTGTTTTGGAGAAGCAGGGAAGTGCGAGGCGCCCTGACCACCTGTCTGCTCTCGCAATATTTCCTCACCTTTCACATGAAATCTGACACAGTGTATGTACAGTGTGCCAGACCGCAAATTTGACCTCTGTGTCGCAAAAGTTTGGAATTTGAGTAGCACCTGTTTTGAGGTTGTTTTATTTAATTTTTTTTTTTAAATCATAATACATCAGGCAGCAATATCTGGCAGCCAGTGGTGAGAAGAGTTAGGTAAATAAACCCATGTGTGTTGAGATTCGTTTGAACAGGACCAAACGTGATGTTCAAGTCCACACCCAAGTCCTCCCAGGGATTGGTGCATCAGGGGTGTAGCCATTCATGCAAGGTGGTGAGAGACGAATACACATACACAATCAGCGCACAATGCATTCTCCAGCTTTGTGGCTAATTAAGTGTGTATGTATGTGTGTGTGTGTGTGTGTGCCAATCTGGTCCAGAGAGAATTCCAGAAATAGAACATGCACAGTGAGACGCTCGCCTGTTTCCCTCTCTTTTATTCCTCCAAAGGGATTTTACATGGCTTTTCATCTCGCATCCAAAGGAATAATTGCATGTTTGTGTGCCTCAGATGTCTTTAAGCCTTGTGCTCAGAATATATATGGATCAGGTGCCTATGATTGCTAAAAATAGATGCATATATAGAGAACGTGTGTGTCAGTAGTCATAGATTTTGTGTGCAGCCGCGATGCATGTCAATTCCATTCCCTTCTCTCTCCTCCCTTTTTGCACCGTTTCGTTGTTTTTCCTCCATCGCCTCATCCTCCTCGCCTCCCTCTCCTCTCTCCCCTCCTTACCTCTGTCTTCCCCCTCTCCCCCAATGCGTCCTCCTCCTCCTCCTCCTCCTCCTTCACCACCACCACCCCCTCTCTGTCGCTCTGCTTTTTATAGCCATGTCTTCCCAGGGCTCGGCAGCTACAAAAGCCTTTTCATGTTGCCACTATAATTACAGCCTACACACTTGCGCACACACACTTGCGCACACACACACACACACACACACACACACACACACCAACGGGCACGCATGCATACACACAAACACAGGAGAGCAGCGCAGCAGCAGCGCTGTGTCTTTGTGTCTGCATGTGTGTGCGTTGTGTGTGCGCGCGTGCTCCGCATGTGCTGTTATACACAAAAGGGTGAGCTATTTTTACCTCTCTCCCTCCCTCTCCTCCTCTCCATCCCCCCCACTCATCCCTCTCTGCTGCTGCTGCCAGCCACATTTGCTATGCTGAGCACAGGCAGTATCAGTCGAGCCCCAACATCCCTCCTCTCGCACACTGAACTCACACACGAGCCGATGAAGGCTGCTCCCTCGGTATCCCTCAGATTTCGAGCTTATTTTATAGCACCTCTGCAGCCGAGCATCTCTGCAAATTCACAGCTCGTGTATATTTCACCAGTCATGGATCAGGCGGTTGCTCAGGTGGCGGTAGCGGTGCCGCGGCATGTGCTCGCAGCTTTGCAGATGACCTGAAGCCCGCTCGCTTGGACTGTGGTCTTACTAACTGCCTGATTAGCAGTTCCAGTTTGTTGCTGGAAGCTTGTCTCAATGTTGCGGACCATATTTGAAGCAGAGTGTGCTCTCTCTCCCACAGAGGGGATCCTGGGAAAGGAGCAGCCGCTGGAGGTTCTGAAGACATCGGCGCTCAACCACATCCCAACAGGTTGGACACTCTGTGTGTTTGTATGTGTGTTTGTTTGTATGTTTGTGTGTGCGTGTGTTTGCGTGAGCTTCTGTAAACCAAAGCTTGTGTGTGTGCACCTACGTGATTTTACTATTAACCACATCCTGTGTGACTTTGCATGCATCTGAGGTGTTCCTAGGATGTGTCCGGTTGTCATGATTGTTTCAGTCCAATTATTGAAGTGTCCTCACGTTAAAGATCTATTATTATGTAGCAGCACTGTGACAGTTGGACGTCACAATATGGTTTATCTAATTGATAGTTAATGGGTTTCTGTAAGTCTTTAAAAGAGTCAGTGCTTACTCTCCTGTACGTTATATTAATGCAGTTATCTCACAGTGCCATTTTGTTGAATGGAAATACAGCCGCCCTGAATGTAGGCGCTCTGTTTGAGAGCTTATGTGAAATTGTTGTTGGATATCTCAAGAGGAACGGCTGCCAGGAATATACAGCAAAACAAGCAATTGTGCATCTTAGTGATGTGTTTGCTGCAAGTTCCTGAGACAGTTTGGTTGTCCCAAAACAAATCAGAGCTACCTTTTTCTCTCATGGACCAAAAATATTGAAAAAATAGGTTTCTGCCTCTGAATCCCCGTCTGATGCAAGTGCTATGCCACCTTTGCGAGTCAAAACATCACAAAATGTTATACTGTATTTACAATAGCTTTCTCTATGGCCAGTAAAAAAGGAAGTAGAAAGGAGCAGCGATGAAGCCGTATAGAAGCAGACAAGAGTACAGAAATGAAAGGGGCACAGATGGAGATGAGGTAATCTGAAGGAGAAATGAGTCTGAGGTAATATATGCATAATGCATTACTAATTCCATAATGAGGAAGCTTAAACTGTTCTATGTATTTCATTTCTTACCACAGAGTACAATTTGGATCTTCCCCTTAAAAGATAATGAAAATAGTCAAAGTGCAATTCATAATTTACTCCCCATGCTGCGCTTTAGCTTTCTGTTTCTGGGATTTCACAGAGAGCAGCAGTGAGCTGGTAGGTGAGCTCAGCAAGCCTGTTGCTTTGGAAAGAACAAATAAATAACTACTTCCTCTTTACTTTGACCCAAAGTATCTTTCTCCTGTCCCAGACTTTACTGAAGCCTCACATGTGCTCTCGTGTTATTGTTGGGGTTATTTTCTGCGTGCCTCTGGCTAGGCTGATAAAATATTGAAATACACTGGAGTGACTTCATCAGATATTCTCGAAATCTGTTGTCTTGGATACGGAGCTGCTGGGGCCTCCACGTTCGGTAGCGTGTGTGACCCGGACTGTTGAGGGGGGGACGAATGAGGAGAGTGCACCTGTCTAAAGGCATGTATACTGCACTCTGTAGCATGCCTCCACTATAGTAGTTTCCTCATTGAAAATGCAAAATGCAATTGTTAAAGTCCTGAATGCTTTGTCATCTAATCTTTATGTAATCAGATCCTGGTGGCTGCATTTAAGCACACAACATGATGCAGGGCTTTCAGTGGGATGCAAAGCAGTGATTGCTGCACCTGCAGGGAGCTGCATGACTCCAAGTAAACACCTGAGTTGTGCTGGTAGTTTAAAGTGACTGCATTTTTTTTGACACCTTGAACTTTTGTTAATATTTATTTGAGCATTAACTTGATCTCATGACAAGAAAGGAGAAACCTTAAGCCTTTCTTTTTGAACTAGTGCTGAAATGTTAGTCGATTAGTCGATAAATCAATCAAGAGAAAATGAACAGATATTTTGGTCAGATGTTCTTTAAATCATTGAATGCTAGAGCCCCGATATGAGATTTTTGAGGGTGGTGAGACTGATATCGATTTTAGAGCAAGCCTGTTGCTTTGGAAAGAACAAATTATAAATAGATATTTGAGCTGCAATGAAAATATAAATTTTCTATGTGGATATGACGATATAAAGGTACTCAGGACTACTAACTCTATTAAATAGTATTTAAGTTAAATATTTGTATTATTATACAGTATTTTCAGTCACATTGCAATCTGCTGGATAAACTTTGCAGTGACACCAATATATTACCACAAGCATATTTTTGCATTATTTTCGGGAAAAAGTTATCATATTGGCACATATCGGAAAACATATATGGCGACGCCGATATCTCCAGGGAGTGAATGTATTTAACTATTTTCTGACCTTTTATAGACTCAAAAATGTTGGGCTACATTGATAAAGTAAGAGTTTGGTTTGTAAAAAAAAAAGGTCTTCAAACTGTTCAAAACCAAAAGACATTCAATTTACAATAACATGAGCCAAACAAAATCCTCAAGACAAGCTGGAACAAGTGAATGTTTGGAATTTTAATTACAGAATGAATTAACAGATTAATCGATAATAAAAATAAACTTGCAGCCATTAACTGTATGTGGTATCAGGATGGGAGAAAGTCATGTCTGTTTGACTTCTGTTTGAAGTCTTCATCCAATGCTTCGCTGCTGGTCTCACATACAGGCTATCCCCATGTAACGAGCACGTTCCTGCACGTACTGCACCTCAACCTTCACACGTCGTCCACATCTACGCCTCGTGTTATGTCTCTGACTCTCTTTCACCCATCTCGTCCTCTTAAACCGCTGTGCCACAGACCGTTGCATGATGTCACTGAGACCGCGACAAGTCGGCACTCGCCTTTGGCAGAACGAGCCTCGCTGCACCTTGACACGTTCCTCCGTCACGCCCTCCCTCCCTGTTTCTTTCCCTGTCATGTCAGAGTTCTGTCTCGTTTTTTAAAGACGTCACGGTGCCATTTTGGAAATCAGATAATAAGATGTTTATGCAGGTTTAAAACCAGGAAAAGCTCTTATTATCTCCAAGAGTTTGAGCTTGCATGGAGGTTAATTCAGAGCAGCTGAGAGAGTCAGCGGGAGAAAGTAACATAGGCTGATGTTCACCCAACCCACCCTCAGAGACCAATCAGCAAGCAGACCGCAGCTATTTTCCTCCATCAACAGATGTGCTACTTGTTGCCTCTCATCTCGCCCTGCTGCTAAATTCACAGTGAAACCCTGCACAGAATATCTCCTGTTCTTTGTAATCTTTTTGCATGGTAAAAAAAAAAAAAAAGATCATTTTACTGAGGCCACTCTCAACAGCTCTGCTCGGCTCAGTATGACATCTATTAAGCGTAACGACTGTGGAGCTCAGGCAGTCAGATCGTGGGATATACACTCGGCGAACCGAGTCTCAAATCAGAGACGCCAGCCCTCTGCATTGTCTGGTATAAATAGATCTGCAATTGGAGCCAGAAGAGTTGTGGACTGCGCCCGAGGGGTTGTAAACAGATTGTGATTTGTTGCGGGGAGATGGAGGGAAGAAAGGTGGGAGGGAGCAACTGAGCGGAGAAGGAACGCAAAGCAGGGCTGGAGGATAGGGCAAGAAGAAGCAGGATGGAGGGTAGCGAGGCGAGAAACCTGCTCAAAGGGAAGGTGGTGGAGGAGTTAAGGTTCAGAGATGGAAGCTGAAGGGAGAAAAAAAGCTTCCAAAGAGTGAATTAACCTATAGTAAGTCATACACGCACAGTGGTGGAGAGACACTTTGCGCCGAGATGTTCAAATCATGTCGTGGAGATTCTCTCTCATGCTTAAAAAATGTTCCACATGAAACGTCAGGAAACTTTTAAATGCTCAAAGGAAAGAAGAGAATAGGAACAGAAATGTGAGGTCTGTACTCTGAGGAAACTTTAGAGAAAATACCTTCAGTTTGACAGGAATTGAACTAAAGTCTTTGCTCTTGTCAAACTCGTGTTGTCTCAGGTAAGGTTGTCAGTTATGTAAGACTCCTGGAAGCTCCTCTGGTGTCCCGCGAGACGGCACGTTTGTCTTTGTTTTGGTGTTCTCTGAGTGCCCCCATATTGTCTTCTATCTGGCACACATCAGTAAACTGAGGTAATTGTTTGACGTCACTACTCGTATACAAAGATGTGCTGATATCAGAGTTTATCTTTGTCAAGTGGCAGCCAAGTTAGTCTGATAGGCTTCTCATTGGCCATAAATGTTTTTTATATGCTGCTGGTGCACCATCATTTGTCTGGTTTCTCAATAGTTATTGAAGGAAAACAAGGTTTTTAATGAACTATACTGCAACTATTGTAGATTTTATTAAGCTTGACCTGTTAAAGGGCTGCAACTACTGATTCCTTTCATAATGGATTAGTTTCTTAATTATTTTCTCAATTCCTTGATCCAATTGTTTGGTGAAAAGTTATTCAAATTGCTTGCTGTCAAAGACAAAAAGAAAATCAGCAAATCACATTTGAGAGACTGCACATTTGTCTCACAGTTATTCTCATTTTAGAGGAAACGTTTTCTTTAAATCTTTTCAGCAAAAGATTTTAAATTGTAAATGTTTGCATGGACTTTAACAAATAAATGATAATAGAAAACATAAAATGAGGAGTAAAGCAGAAATAAGTAAAGCAGAAATAAGTAAAAACCTCTTTGACTCCTAACATGTCTATCCAAATGTGCACATACATATACAACTAAACTTAATTAGAAGCAACAAAATGTCAAAATAACAGACCTGTACTGTGTATTTGGACAAAAAACTACAGTAGCAAAATCTGATGACAAAAAAGAAACAATAACCTGTTTATAATCCCTGATTTTATTATGATCCTCCAGTATTTAAATATCGGGGGTGCCTCCCTGCAGGGAAAGTCCTTACTTTGCTTCACCTGAAACCATTTTGTGGTTTTATTTGTTTGGGAAATGCAGGCAAATACCAGGCCAGGAATTTGAGCACACAGTATTAAAACCACACGAGAGAGAGAGAGAGACAGAGAGAGTGAGAGAGGGGGGAGAGAGAGGAGAGAGAGATAGAGGGGAGAGAGAATGGGACGTCTGCAAGTGTGTGGGAGAGATTTGATGCACTACAAGCGGCGTGGAGGGTTTTCCTCGGCCTTAGAAGCAAGGACAGCAGGTTGAGCGGGGGAAAGAGCAGAGAGGGTAAGGAGAGAAAGAGAGAGCGCTCTGTGTGTGTGTGTGTGTGTGTGTGTGACGTTGGAGGGGAAGTAAAAGAAAAGAAGGATGATTGGGATGAGAGGGATAAAGGACAGATGGGGAGAGGAGAGACGAATGCTCCCGGAGATAAGCCTGTGTCACTGATGCACAGTTGTAAG